AGAATAAACTGAATAATGTGACGATGGTAATATTTATGCTTTTGATGGATGTTTTATTTGTTAATATTCTTGTGTAGAAGGATGTTTAAATTGTATTGATGGTATTTGTTTTGAATGTGACATTGGGTGGATATTTAAATCAGATTTTAATACTTGTATTGCTATTGTAAATGATTAGAAATTTTAAATTTGGGAAGAATGTGACGATTATTTAAATTTTGAAATTTGTAAAAATGGCAAATTTATTTGTCCATCAAATTGTTTGATTTGTGAATTTGGAATATGTTATGATTGTATTCCAGGATGGAAATTAATTAAATAATAATGTTAATCTACTTGTGGAGACAATCAAATTTAAATCTTAGAGGAATGTGATGATAATAATTTAATAAGATTTGATGGATGTAATAAATGTTAAAATGATTGTTAAAGAGAATGTTCATATTGTTTTAGAGGTATATGTTTAGATTGTATTTATGGATGGCATTTAAATAATCAATTTATTTGTGAAACTTAATGTGGAGATTCTTAGATTGCTTTAATTTCTTATGAAGAATGTGATTATTCAAATAGTAATAGTAATTAAGTTGATTAATGTATTGAATGTAAATTATAATGTTGTCATTATTGTGATGGTTGCATTTATGGAATTTGTTATAATTGTGAATATACATTTACATTGATTGATTAAATTTGTACTCCTGTATGTGGAGATGGATTAATTACAATTGAATATGAATAATGTGATGATATGAATTTAATACCTTATGATGGTTGTTATGAATGCAAATATTAATGTAGATAATATTGTAAATTATGTATTAAAGGAATTTGCTATGATCATTGTGAATATGGATTCTATGAGTTTGATAATTAATGTATAACCAAATGTGGAGATGGTATCATTGCTGGATAAGAAGATTGTGATGATTTAAATGACAATCAAACTGATGGATGTCATAATTGTTAATTTCATTGTCCAGATCATTGTGATTAATGTATAGAAGGTAAATGTAAATTATGTGAACCTGGATATGCTTTGATTGAATAAATGAACATCTGTAAATCTTATTGTGGGAATGGTATGATATCTTTAGATGAAGAGGAATGTGATGATGAAAATAACGAAGATGGGGATGGATGTTCAAGGCTTTGTAAGATTGAAACGGATTATCAATGTAAAAATTTTGAATATAGTTTCTCTTAATGTACTTACTCTAAACAACCAAGATTTTATCTTTAATTTAGAGAAGAAAGAGATTAAAACTAATATGTTACATTACTATTTACTTAATAAGTTAAGAATATAGAAAAAGACTCATATTCTAAATATATATAAATGAACCTAGTTGATGTAGATATTAATATCTACAAACTAAACTTAATTATAATCTAAGACGCCTATGATTATGTCACTAATGTAGAGTATGTTGTTGAAATCTAAATAAATGCAACTTTAGAGTATCGTCCCATTTTAGAAATTACTTTAGATTAATAGTTGTACAATTCAGAAGATGCTATTCTTGTCAATCAATATGATCAAATATAATTGAGATAACCAAAATACTTAGACGATTAAAAATTATAAGCAGCAGCTACTTTAACTTAAGCAAACGAATATATTATGAATTCAATGGGTGGGATTGGTATACTAGCTTTCTTTCTAGGAAATTCATTTATTTTTAGTAGCATTCTCGAAGTCTTACAATAATAATCTTATTTAAGATTTATTAATGTAATATTTCCCTTCAATTTATTTATCTATTTTGAATCAAGTAACATAATAACGATTAAACCCATTTTATAATTTTTTCGAATTGATTCTATTTAAACTCCAATATATGATTCTATATACATAAAATCTTACGAAAAGTTGGAATATTATGAAATTAATGCTGACCTTTTGACCAATATATAGACTTAAGTGTTTCTTCTTTTAATCTTATTTATCATTTATTTTTCATGTATTTCAATTCTTCATTTGATTGATACAACCAAAATTGAATCTTTAGTTTATTTAGGAAGATTTGGAGTTAAATTACTCTTTTAAATAAAAAAATAATGCTTAAATTATAAAATTGAATTTCGAAAAGTAGGCTTAAAGACATTTTTAATAGCAAATTGCTGGGATATTCTTTTCACTTGTTTTTTGTAATTCAAATCTTCATAATAAAGTACTAATTTTAGATCCTATATTTGTTTAATCTTAGCATACTTAATATTGTATGGATGCTTAATGATACTTGCCTAATTTGTTAATAAGAAATCTTTTATAAAGGAATGCTTTATAAATTATTGGATTTCAAAGATGGATTTATTTTTTTCATTAAAAAAATTAATTTTTATCTTTATCCTAGTTTGCTTTTAGAAGAACCAATAAATATAAACAATTTTACTAACATTTGTATGTTAAATATATCTCAGTTATGTAATTAAATTTAAACCATTCAAAAATCAATAAGA